AATCACCTCCAAATACAACAGCGACTCTTTGTTTACAAGTTTGTGGGCATTTGAGTAGCTGCTGTCATGTGATGTGTTGGTCAGGATGGACTCGCGTTCGTTTCATACAGATTACAAAACTAAAAATACATTTGTTTTCAAGTGCACTTGGTTCATTTAAAAGCACACATTCAAAGCTTTGTTTGGATATATTGCTTATGTCTGTGAATTCCATTGCGTTTGTTGGGTCTTCATTCGCCATATTAACCATTACACTTTCCTCATTCAAAACTATACGAGTGACTTGTCTTGTGTATTCTATAGCCTTTGATCATGTACTGAACTACATTCAAAAAATCATGTGTGGCACGACTAAAAACCAAAAGCCTTCAAAAAAGTACATGATGCTCCAGAACAATGAGTTCATGTGTGCATACCTGTGAGGGAGTGTGCTTAAAGAGCTTGCCTGGATTGGTCTACCTTGAGACTTATTTTCCAGCAAGCCAGGTTGACAGAGGCTCCACCCCTCTGATGTGTAAACAAATTTCTAGTCCAGCTGGCTCTACTCACCCATTGGCTGAAACTGTCCATGTCAATCACACCGCTATTATGTAAGCAGTGTCTGCAGGTGGAGGTGTGTCTCTCTCTCTGCACATTTCACCGGCACTCGAGCATGTCAAGTGAGCCATGCCTACATCTGTCACAAGCTCAGTTAGGTTCATCAAATCCACCTCCACCGACACAGCTAGTCGAAACAGCGCTGCTACTAAAATGATACAAGAACAAGCACTTCACAAGTGACAGGTGTGTATGTGTAAAACTGAACAAATCAGCACACACGCTAGAGCGCTTGTGATTAGGCTATACTCCGTGTCTTAATTACCACTCATTAGCATTTAAAAGTAAGTGGTACTGGGGCCATCAAACAGAGATTTGCTTACCGAGTTATAGCACAGAGCAATTCACCACTGCACAAATCCCTCTAAAAAAAAAAAAAAGCATTCGCTGCATAATCAGAGCAGACAGCTTAGTCCCCAGGTTGCAAAGGGCAGCCTGTACCGTTTGAAATGTATTACAACCACATAAAAAGGGGGAAACACTAATCCACTCGCTCTCCAAAACAATGGGATTTTCATTAAAAGCACCAGGATTTCTTAATCATCCCGAGCCTTGGAAATGTACACTAATAATACGCATGAAAACCGAGCATGTTGCAGCGATACACGCTGTGAAACTGAAGCTCGGTGACCTTGCTAATAATCCACCTTTATTTATTTGAACAAGCAGATCTTTTAACATTCAACGCAGGAATTTTATTTCTCACTACGTCTGTCTTCGCCTTTTTTATGGCATGCCAAAGCCTAAAAGTGAATTAAATCAAGTAAATAAAAACGGAATCAAAGGGAGATATTTGCTCTTAGAAAGTCATAATGGAATGTTTTGCTTCACTTTTGCTGCCAAGGTCCTATGAGCTGTAAATTTGCAAACAATTGAATTAATAAAATTGTGAAAGAACTGTTGCATAAAGGATAGAATGAACTACAACTGTCAAGCTAAGTGCACAATGAAGTCCATTCAAAAATGAAAGCTACAGTACAATATACAGTTGAAGTCGGAATTATTAGCCCCCTTTTGATTTTTATTTTCTTTTTTAAATATTTCACAAATTATGTTTAACAGAGCAATGATATTTTTACAGTATGTCTAATAATATTTTTTCTTCTGGAGAAAGCCTTATTTGGCTAGAATAAAAGTAGTTATTAATTTTTTTTAAAAACATTTTTGGGACAAAATTATTAGCCCCTTTAAGCTAATTTTTTGATAGTCTACAGAACAAACCATCATCATACAATAACTTGCCTAATTACCCTAACCTGCCTAATTCACCTTATTAACCTAGTTAAGCCTTTAAATGTCGCTTTAAGCTGTATAGAAGTGTCTTGAAAAATATCAAGTAAAATATTATTTACTATCATCATGATAAAGACAAAATAAATCTGTTATTAGAAATAAGTTTTTAAAACTATTTTGCTTAGAAATGTGCTAAAACAATCTTCCCTCCATTAAACAGAAATTGGGGGGAAAAATAAACAGGGGCACTAATAATACAGGGGGGCTAATAATTTTGACTTTAACTGTATGTGCATTATGTTGAAAACCTGTGCAGAATTACCTTGAAAATTAAACAATAAAAAGGTAACTATGCAAATTATACTGTACATAGCAGTAGTGTTGCTTTGCATGGAAGAATGTATTTGAATGTACTACATAATAGTAAATGTACTATGTGCAATACATTTTATTACAGCAAGTATTGCATTGTAATAGTCCAATGAAGGGCTGGGCGATAAAATCGATATTAGTATTTATTGACCGAACACCATTGTCAATATTGTTAAAAAAAAAAAGGTTCGGTAAGAAGTTTTGATATGAAGGCTATAGTTTTATTGAAATATGACTGCTTAGTGTGCACCTTTGAAGCATTGCCAATAAGCTTTGGGTGTCAGTTTGTCATTTCCGATGGAGGCGCCCTTGTAAATAAAAAAGGTGTCGCCAGCACGGCTTTTTGGTTTCTTTTCTTGTGCATTCCAGACACTAGCACCGCGTCTGAAAGATTTTTTAGCATAGGGGTAATGTAGTCATTCAACTTCACAATTTGTAATGTAACGATATGTATTTGAATAATGATGGTTAGTTCCATTACTTGAAAGCTCAGATTTGATTATCATAATTTGTTTTGTTTACAGAGTTTGAGGTTTACTGTATGATTATTATTCACACCTTACAGATGTTGATCTACCTTAAAGTTTGTTTTGATTGCTCAGCGTCAAGCATGTGCACACATAGGGCTCAACCTGTGCAGTGCACATGCCTTTTTAGTCTTGGATAGAAAGTGCCCATCCAAAATGATCAAAAGTCCCCCCTCGACACCCCCCCTCCCCCTACCGCCCTTCAGTAGGCGTGCGACAACACCGCTCTTAAGTACGTGCTCAACAACAAATTCCAGCCAATGTCAATAATTATTAATACTGAATGATATGAAATACGATATCGTGATTTATATATATATATATTTTTTTTTTTTTTGCAGAATTTTCACAAGTAACACAGGCCAAACGTCCTCCCTGTTACAGAACATTCTTGTATCTTTTAAAAAGTGTTTAAAATAAATAGTTACTGTAATATTTACATTTTCAAAGAGCTAAAAATGTCCCTCACTTTACTCTGCAATAGTATTTAAAAAAAAACAAGAATTACCCCCCCAAAAAATGTTTATGATTTAAGGCACATTTTAAATTTAAAGTATTTTTCATTCATTCATTTTCTTTTTGGCTTAGTCCCTCTGTTAATCAGGGGTCGCCACAATGGAATAAACCGCCAACTTATCCAGCACATGTTCTGTACTCCCGCAATCACACTCATGTTCTACAGCCAATTTAGCTTATTCAATTCACCTAGCACATGTCTTTGGACTGTGGGGGAACCCAGAGCAAACCCATGCAAACATGGGGAGAATGTGCAAACTCCGCACAGAAATGCCAACTGACCCAGCCGGGGCTCGAACCAGCGACCTTATTGCTGTGAGGCAATTGTGCAACCCACTGTGCCACCGTGATGCCCTTAATGTATTTAATTAAGTATATATATATATATATATATATATATATATATATATATATATATATATATATATATATATATATATATAAAGATTTTTAAATATTCTGTACCATACAATGCCTTGGGGACACAAAATGGCACCGAATAGTAGGAATGATCTGTATACTACAGTACAGTAAACATAGCAAACTATAACTGTTCTGTGGATCATAAACTTGCATCATAGTACACTAAAGTAAAATGTGTATACATTAACTGTCAACACATGCGATGAATCTTTGCATAGTAAACACCATCCAAAATAGTTACAGCTATACATTGCACAACATAGTTTGCATGCAAGGCACATAGTACACATCGTACAGTATAGCGTGTGATATGACACTCTGACCCTATAACGAAAGACCTACTTGAGACTGTCTTAACCAACTGTTTACATAATCAACGTTAAAACGCAGTTTATTTACTGAAGTCACAAAACCTGGCATGCCAGTCACAATGCATAGAGCCCCGTCAGCCGGCAAACACATGAAATATACACAGCAACAGCTCATTATATAACCAACCGGGATGAACCGAGTGACATCACGGCGGGATACACTCAGTGGCTGCGTCTCAAATCTTAGTAACGCTGCCTACCTAGAGAGCAGTATTGGAGTCTCTTCAGAACGCATACACAGTGCGTTTCAGGAATCATACCCTACTATACGATGCCCCTCAATACGACTATTGAAACACTGCCAATGTCTGTTAAGTGGCACGGAGACTAAATAGTCGTAGCCTGCTAGTACGAGCTATTCTCAATTAAAAGACAGCGGCGAGCGATGAACGCTCATGCGTAAACCGCGTCGCCGTGGATTAAACGGTGCACAAGGGTTGAAGTCGCAACTCTAGTACAGACTAACACTTCCGCGATTGTGTTTTCACATCAAAAGCCTTCCAGCTCCCAGTGTTGACTCAGCAGAAGTGCGCACGGTTAAGACAGTGACAGTGTCGGTTAAAAAGTACAGCTGACAGATCATCATTCCGCCGGTAAAATCATGTTTGGAAGTCTGTCAAAGAGGCGGAGTGGCGCAGTTCCTCCAGCCGGGCTAGAGCGCTCTCTACTCGGTCTGGCAGCTCGCAAGCAACCGCCCCGCTTCCCGTGCGCTACTTCAAAGTAGTTATATAATTTTAAATCGAGGTGACAAACGGCACATCCCGTAGGTCTCGCAAGGTCGATCGCAAACATGTTGATGTGACAATTAGTGCAAATGTCACAGTAAGTATTTTCAAAGGTTTATTTTTATATATAGTAAACGTCACTCTCTGTTCCTGCTGCGTCTTTTAGTTTACATTCATTTCTCCCAGATGATGAGCAAGACAGCTTGGTGCGGGTGAAAATAAATGCACGGACTTACTGTACGGTATAACGGGCAGGGAAGCGCGAGGCTCTCCGTGTTGCCAGGGGCTCCGTGCGTTCTCGCGCACTGCCGGTGGAATCGTCTCCCCTCCGCTCGTACAATGATGTCTGCTGCAGCCCGAGCTAATAGCTCTATCTCTCCGTGCCCCCACCTCCAGTGAGAGAGTGTGTGTGTGACGGAGGGAGTGAGTGTGTGGAGGCGTGCGTAAGAGTGTGTGTGAATGTGTAATCCAAATATGGAGCAGTTGGCCGGCCCAGTTAAAGAGAACGGATTGGAGGTTGTTCCATTAAAAAAAGTATAGAAAACATGACGTTTGGGGCTTCATAAACAAATGGTGTATTTTGGAGTGTAGCTGAACGGGTCAGTTGTTTGTAATTGTTTATGACCCCTGTGCTATTTAATGTACAGTACGGTTTATTATAACATGAACACAATTTGATGTTGAAAAACTGTGGACAACAAACTAATAATTAACATTCATGGTTGAAAGCAAAACATGTATAGTGTGTTATGTAGTGCATAGTGCAGCATACACTCAAGGGTGTATTATGCTATAGTAAAGTATTATTTATGCAGTAAATTCCATAGTTGCAAATAAAGTATAATAAAGTGTTACATGTTTTATATACCTGCAATGTAGTACGGTATAGTAGTGTAAAAAGTAAATGCATTAACTGCCATGACAAAGTAAATATAGGAAGCACAGTAATGGCTATACGTTGCACAATGTATGGAAACTGTGCACAACTCCTAAATGCTACATCCTGAATAGTTTTGTAAATTACAAAACATAGTATAGCGTTGCATAGTATAGCATGTGACATTTATATATATATTTATATAAATTATGTAACTTACTAGTACCAGGTTGGACTCCATTTTGCCTTCAGAACTGCCTTAATCCTTTGTGGCATAGATTCAGCAAGGTACTGTAAATATTTCTCAGATATTTTAGTCCATATTGACATGATAGCATCATGTAGTTGCTGCAGATTTGTCGGCTGCACATCCGTGATGTGAATCTCCCGTTTCACCACATCCCATGTGCTCTCTTGGATTAAAACCTGGTGACTTTGGAGGCCATTTGAGTACGGTGAACTCATGCTCTTCTGCATTCTCTGTTGTAACGAGTGGTTATTAGAGTTACTTTTGCCTTTTTATCAGCTGGCACCGATCTGGCCATTCTCCTCTGACCTCCCAGTAGATCAGTTTCTGAAATACTCAGACCAGCCCGTCTGGCACCAACAACTATGCCACATTCAAAATCCTTTCTTCCCCATTCTGATGCTCAGTTTGAACTGCAGCAGATCGTCTTGACCATGTCTACATGACTAAATGCATTGAGTTGCTGCCATGTGATTGGCTGATTAGAAATTTGCATTAACGAGCATTGTGATTAGTCAATAGTAAGAAGTTTGTCTAAAAAAAAACGTTCTGACAATAAGTTTGTGATATAATGTCTGCTTTTTAAAAAAAAAAAGCCTTTAAAAATAAAATTCTTGCTTCTGCTTACTATGCTGATTTTGACTAGTAAAAGCTATTGTCATGGAGAGTAAGATATGCATGAATATTGTTCATTTTAATAAAGCATACAGAAGTTTAGTTTAAATGACAATGGTAGACTATAACATTTTCTTTGTAAATATAGTCTATTCAAACCACATTATGGGGTGAATAGAATTAGACTAAATGTTAAACGCATGCACTCACATACACAGACACATTGTGGTCAGTGTTTGGGAAGGGAATTTCCAGAAGAGTTTGCGCCTATGTTTCTATGGAGACTATAACATACTCTTCCTCCACCCTGAAATACATCAGCATGTCTGCCCTATTATTTAAGAGTTTCAGTGCTTAACTTCAATATGACCAACAACCTACACATAATAATCTAGAAAACAATCTGCTCTTTAAGAATTCTCAGCATCAAGAGTTTTTTTCTGTATTGTTATTAAACATTGTGAGAAATAACTCAGGCATACCACCTTTTAGAGGGCATGATCATTGTACACCTGAGAGCTTCTCTTGAAATGACATATTGATACTGTACAGTATATCTACTGTATTTATGATATCTTTTCACACTTTTAGCACTTTTTACATTCTTTTACTACTACTAATAATAATAATCATCATCTCACTGCAAAAATGTAGCTGGTTCAAGCTTCAGCTGGGTGAGTTGGCATTTGTGTGTGGAGTTTGCATGTTCTTCCCGTGTTGGCGTGGGTTTTGTCTGGGTGCTCCGGTTTCTCCCCACAGTGCAAACATATGTGCTATAGGTGAATTGAGTAAACTAAATTGTCCGTAAGTGTGTGATTAAGTATGTATGGGTGTTTTCCAGTACTGGGTAGAAGCTGTAAGGGCATCCGCTGTGTAAAACATATGTCAGAAAGTTGTCAGTTCATTCCATTGTGTTGACCCCTGATAAATAAAGGGACTAAGCTGAAGGGAAAGGAATAAATGAATATTAAAATACTTGATCATATTTTGATAGGTTTATTTTTTATTTATTTAAAGGGGTGGGATTGTTACGTGAAATGTAGTTTTATTTGGTGTGGCGGGCTGCGTTGTCGGGAACTTAAGAGCATGGTTGGGAGGGGGGTGGAGGGGGTTTTTGGGGTTGAAGCGGAGAAACTTCAGATCATTTGGATAGGGCACTTTCTATCCAAGACTAAAAAGGGAATGTGCACTCCACAGGTTGAGCCCTATGTGTGCTCGTGCCTGAACCTAGTGCCTGAACCTAGGGCTTAATGTTCATTAATAACATCAATTTGGTAATTATATTAGATTCACCTTATTCCAAACATGTCTTATTTGTTTTAAATTATTCTTTTGGTTTGTAGAATTTTCATTGAAAATATCTGAACGTTTCATTCATTTTCTTTTCATCTTAGTCACTTTATTAATCTGGGGTCGCCACAGCTGCCAACTTATCCAATATATGTTTTACGCAGTGGATGCCCTTTCAGGTGCAACCCGTCACTGGGAAACATCCATACACAGTTATTCACACACATTCACTACAGACAATTTAGTTTATCCAATTCACCTATAGCGCATGTCTTTGGACTTGTGGGGAAAACTGGAACACCCGGAGAAAACCCACCCGAACACGGGGAGAACATGCAAACTCCACACAGAAACGCCAACTGACCCAGCCGAGGCTCGAACCAGCGACTTTCTTGCTGTAAGTCGAACGTGCTACCCATTGCGCCAATGTGCAAATAACCCGTAACAGCACAAAACAGCCGATTCCAGCTAATTCCAGCCTGATCTCGAGGAAATGTAACCATTTTACTTTTTGTCAGTGGCTAATTCGTACGGTACGAGTTCAGTTGTATGGAAATGTATGATTTTTAAAGGAGGCTTTAAAGGATTTTTAAGGATTTAAAAGGAGGTGTGGCTCCCCTAAACCCATCCGTCATTGGAGGATGAGAAGTTATACTACATTGTACAACTGAGATTGTACAAATTCATATGAATTAGCCACTAAATCAAAAAGGTATGAATTACTATGAGATTGTGATGGATAATTATTATTTAATAACTAGTTTCACAGATTTTTCAAATTTGTAAATTCACAATATTACCTGAACTGTTATCAGCTGGGCCAAACTAAATGGTGGCCGACAGAAATACTAAAAGTACAGATACCTTAATAGTAGAGCTGCACAATTAATAGAAAAAAGATCGCGATCTCAATTCGACCCCCTAGACGATCTTAATGCGGCATTTCTACGATTCTGTCAATCATATTTTCAAGTTCAGGAGAGGAGAAAAGGCGGCTGCACTAGTCTTTTCTTTGCTTTACACACGTTGCTCAGTGAAATGGACACCTCCAAATTATGTTAAAAGAGTCACATGCTGTATTTATAAGGCATAATTCATCCAAAAATGTCATTTTTGTCTTCATATAATGATGTATTTGCGGCAGGGAATTCACACGTGACGTGAGCTGTTGACTGTGCAGGCGCGCACCCTACTTAATGATGGACGCGCAAGCGTCTACTAGTAAACAGAACCCGCATATGCTGAACTCACTTGAGTAACAGGTAATAAAGTTGTAAATAATATTCAGTTTGTGGCACAGAGTGGTCATTTAAGAACAGCGCGCGAAGTATGAACAGAACTTAACCGTGAAAATGAAACCGAAAGCCTGGACATATTTTAAATAATCATATCGCATTTTACAGCCATAACTGCGACAAGCATTTGATATGTTTTTTCTTTCATTACGAACACAGAGTTGTGCATGAAAATAAAAGTTTACAGTGTCAGTATAACTAGCCTATATAATGTTGACTTTATGATCTAATAATGTTCTCAATGACAGACTGCAAGCATAGGCCTATATCTTAACATAATTCAACATCAGAATTATTATAGGTAGAATAGAATTATTTATAGAAACCAGAAGACTTACACATTGTTTTACCATATGTTTGAGAAAAAACAATAATCCCATATTAAGCTTTTTTTTTACATCTGCAGAATCGTGAGAGAATCGTGATCTTTATTTTAAGCAAAAAAATTGTGATTCTCATTTTAGCCAGAATCGCGCAGCTCTACTTGATAGCATATCACTCCGATAAAAATCCACCATTAAGATTCTGAAATAATATCTATCAACACTGGACTTATGGTAAAACATAAGTGGTAGTAGATCTCTAAACGGTGTTGGATCATTTGAATAAGTGAGTGGTGGTTAGCAGTATATTCTCTGACTGGATCAATTGAATCAATTAGTCATTAACGGTAGAACAGATCTTTTAAATCAGAGTCTTTAACAGCAGACTTTCCCTGACCGGATCAGTTTGATCAATGAGTCGTTAACTGTCAATTAACTCTAAACTCATTTCAATCAGTGAGGCATTAACAGTAAACTCTCTCTGACTGGAACGTTTGAATCAGTTAAGTCGAGTTCACCTGGCATGATTTCATGAATCATGAATCGTCAGATCGCTGTTGTTTTCACACTGCATGACTATCTAGGGTAGCATTCAGTTGCTGCTGTGTTCATACTGCGTGATGAATTTGTGACCGGAGGATAAACACTACATGACTATAAAACAAATAAAATTGTAAAATAATAGGATATATAAATGGTCAGTGTGCCAAACGATGATTTACAGGGAAAGGGCAAAAAGAAAGGAAGATTATGGAGGAGATTTAGGGT